AAAAAAAAAAAAAAAAAGACATTTGAAAAAAAATTTTTTGCACACTCCCACCACTTTGTTCCCCCCAAGACATTTTGATTGAAATGTGATTGACAGGTAAAAAACTATATATACAAAAAGTATATACAAAAGTTTTGATATAGACAAAAATCAAGAAAGGTGAAATCTGCATGGATGGAAACATGAAATCCTCCCCAAAACATCGATAAACTGAGCAAGTTGAAACTTACATGGGTGAATCAGAAAGGATGCTGTTGACTTTCTTCCTTGGTAGTGAAATAAGGGATTATAACATTGTCTCAAAACTTTCATAGTATAGCTGAGCATTGTGGTGAGCGCCTGTAGTCCCAGCTACTCAGGAGGCTGAAGTCCAGGAGTTTGAGGTAGCTGTGAGCTATGACACTACAGCACTCTACCTAGGGGTACAAACCGACTGTCTCAAACAAAACAAACAAAAAAACCCTTTCACAGTTACCTATGTGTTTTATTTTATTTGTTGTTTTTTTTGGGGGGGAGGGGACAGTCTCACTCTGTTGCCCTGGGTAGAGTGCTTTGTCATCATAGCTCACAGCAACCTCAAACTCTTGCTTTAGCCTCCCAAGTAGCTGGGACTATTTTTTTTTTTTTTGAGACAGAGTCTCACTATGTTACCCTCAGTAGAGTGCTGTAGCATCACAGCTCACAGCAACCTCAAACTCTAGGGATCCTCTTGCCTTAGCCTCCCAGGTAGCTGAGACTACAGGTGGCTGCCACAATGCTTGGCTATTTTGTTGTTGTTGTTGTTGTTGTCATTGTTGTTTAGCAGGCCCTGGCTAGGTTTGAACCCACCAGTCCCAGTATATGTGGCCTGTGCCATAACCACTGAGCTACGGGCACCAAACTAGTAGCTGGGACTATTATAGGTGCCTGCCACAATGCCCCCTAGTTTTTGTATTTTTAGTAGAGACAGGGTCTCTCTCTTGCTTAAGCTGGTCTCAAACTCCTGGGCTCAAACAATCCACCTGTCTCAGCCTCCCAGAGTACTAGAATTTACAGGTGTGTACAACTTGGTGAGTTTATGAGAAGCAACAATTGTCTAATTTAATCATTTCTTGGTCATTCATTAGTTTGAATTCTAGTATGAGGAAGAGGTTTTTCCTTATTTATATCACCACGGGTTCATAGATTCTTCTTTTAGCCTGTGGGTTCTCATTTGTTATTGCTATCATTCCTTTTTTTTTTTTTTTGCTCCAATTTTCCCAGACTTGGCTGATGGGAGCTTGTTCAATTTGACTTCTGTGCATCATATTTTATTTTTACTTATCAACAGATTTTATTGATTATTAAATTAATACATGATTTTTGTAGATAATATACAAAACTAACTCAAAGCACAGAGAAGGATGTAAACATACATACAGTCCTGTCATCTATATATTGATGTATTTTCTTTTAGCCTTTCATTGCATTTTCAGGTGTAGTAGAGATAGAGTTAAAGATAGAGATTTGTATCTTAGTTTTGTGTTTTTAAGCTATTATTGAGTTATAAACATTTTCCTGAGCTACTAAGTACTTTTCAAGGCCAGGAGTAGTGGTTCACACTTGTAATCTTAGCACTTTGGGAAGCTAAGGTGGGAGGATCACATGAGGCTAGGAGTTTGGACAAGCATGGACAACATAGCAAAACCCCATCTCTACAAAAAAAAATTAAAAACTTAACTGGGCCTAGTGGTGGAAGCCTATATAGTCCTAGCTACTTGGGATGTAGAGGTAAAGGATTGCTTAAGCCCAGTTCAAGGCTGCAATAAGCTATGATTATAGCTATTGTACTCAGCCTGGGTAACAAGAGTGTCTTGAAAGCAAATAACAAAAAATAACTTCAAAAAAATTTCAGACTGTGGGCAGTACCTGTGGCTAAGTGGGTAGGGTTCTGGCCTCATATACTGAGGGTGGTTGGTTCAAACCTGGCCCCGGCCAAACTGCAACAAAAAAATAGCCAGGCATTGTGGCGGAAGCCTGTAGTCCCAGCTACGTGGGAGACTGAGGCAAGAGAATCGCCTAAACCTAGAAGTTGGAGGTTGCTGTGAGTTCTGTGATGCCACAGCACTCTACTGAGAGCAATAAAGTGAGACTCTGTCTCTACCAAAAGAAAAAAAAATCAGAATGTTACAGGGGTACACATGTTTTGGTTACATAATTTGTTTTTGTATATTTTAAGTCTCAAAGTTATAAGTGTGCTCTTTACCCAGAAATTGTGTGTTGTGCCCTTTAGGTATGAATTTACCCATCTCCTCCTCCCCTTCCTACCTACTTGAATTCCCTTGGATTTTGCTTCCATATGTGCACTTAAGTATTGACCAACTAGTTCCTCTTTAGTATTGAGTACATGTAACATTTGTTTTTCCATTATTGGGATACATCACTTAACAGAATGGTCTCTGATTCCATCTAAGTTGATACAAAAGATCACCATTTTTGATGGTTAAATAGTAGTTCTTGATATATATACCACATTTTATTAATCTATTTGTGTATTTATTTGGGTTGTTTCCATATCTTCACAATTGTGAATTGTGATCTGTAAACATTTTAGTGCAAATGTCTTTATAATAAAAAGTTTGGTTGTATTTTTTTTTTTTTTTGGTAAATACCTAATAGTGGGATTGTTAGGTGAAATGGTAGGTCTACTTTTAGTTCTTCAATGTATTTCCATACTCCCTTCCATAGAGGTTGCAGTCCTACCAACAGATAATAAGTGTCCTTTCTCTCCACAATCACACCAGCATCTTTTGCTTTAGGTCTTTTTGATATGACCTATTCTCACTAGAGTTAGGTGATGTCTCAACGTGGTTTTGATTTGCATTTCCTAATGATTAGAGTTGTTGCACATTTTTTCATGTTGTTGCCCATTAGTTTATCTTCGTTTGAAAAATTTTGGTTCATTTCTTTTGCCCACTTTTTAATGGGGTTGTTTGATCTTTTCATGCTGATTTGCTTGAGTTCTTTGTCAATTCTGGTTATTAGCCCTTTATTGGATGTATAGCATGAAAATATTTTCTCCCATTCTGTAGATTATCTATTTGCTCTTTTGATCGTGTCCTTGGTTGTGCAGAAACTTTTAAATTTGATCAAGTCCCTCTTATTTATTTTTGTTATTGCTCTGATTGCTTTTGGGGTCTTCATAAATTATTTGCCTAGGCCATTATCTATAAGAGGTTTTCCAACTTTTTTTCTATAATTTTTATAGTTTCATGTCTTGAATTTAAGTCTGTTGTCCATCATGCATTAATTTTTTGTGAGTGATGTGGGTTCTGTTTCAATCTTTTACACAAGGCTATCCAGTTTCCCCAGCATCATTTATTGGATAGGGATTCTTTTCCTTAGCGTATATTTTTTGTCTGTTTTTTCAAAAATCAGATGGGAATATGAGGGTGGTTTCATATTTAGGTTCTCTGTTCTGATCCATAGGTCTGTGTCTCTATTTTTATGCCAGTATCATGCTGTTTTGGTTATTATAGCCCTGTAGTACAGCTTGAAGTCTGGTGATACCTTTAGGTTTGTCATTATTATGTAAGGTTGCGTTGGCTATTCAGGGTCTTTTCTAATTCCATATGAGGCATAGAACTATTTCTTCTAGATCTGTAAAAAATGACGTTGGTATTTTAATGTGGATTGCATTGAATCTGTAAATACTTTGCGTAGTATATTTTGACAATGTTGATTTTGTCAATTCATGAGTATAATATGTTTTGACATCTGTTTACATCCTCTGTGATTTCTTTCCTCAGTGTTTCATAATTCTCCAGATGTTAATGTCTTCCACCTCCTTATTTAAATTCATTCCTAGGTATTTAATTTTCTTTTTGTTGCTACTGTAACAGGTATAAAGATATCATGTCTTTGATTTGATTCTCAGCTTGACTATTCTTGGTGTATATGAACCCTACTGATTTGTGCACATTGATTTTGTAACTTGAGAGTTGGACACAATGTGTCTCACAACTGATAATCCATGTGAGCCAAACTTTTTTTTTAAAGTGTGCCAGTGTTTGCTTAAGGCCCACCTGCTGCTTCTGCTTTTGTATAGCAGCTTCTCCCCCACCCCCACAAAGAAAACTTCAATTTCCTCTCTCTCTCTCTCTCTTTCACATCTCTCTCTCTTTTTTTTCTTTTTCAGCACAGTCTTTGTCCATTCTCTTGTAGAATATTTGGAGAGCCAACATAAGTTCATAGTGGTAGAAGCACAGAAAGCAGAGAAGAAAGTGACCCTGGCCATGAGGTAGGACATTGTCCTCTTGCTAGAGACAGAGCAGTAGACGGACAATGAATAGGTTAACAATCAATAGATAATATAATAACATTGGGAGATGAGAATTGCTCTCAAGAAAAACAAAAGTGGTAGGATGGAAAGAGAGATGGATAGGTAGCTGCTATGTTAAATAGATGAGTAGGGAAGCCATTTCTGGTGTGGTGATATTTGAGTAGAGACCTGAGGGTATTACAGATGAGAAATTTTGAGAGGTAAAGTAACTTTACTAAAGTTACAAAGCAGGCGGTGCCCGTAGCTCAGTTGGTAGGGCGCCAGCCACATACACCAAGGCTGGTGGGTTTGAACACAGCCTGGGCCAGCTAAAATGACAATGACAACTGCAACAAAAAAGCCAGGTGTTGGGATGGGTGCCTGTAGTCCCAGCTACTTGGGAGGCTGAGGCAAGAGAATTGCTGAAGCCCAAGAGATTGAGGTTGCTGTGAGCTGTGACATCACAGCACTCTACCCAGGGCAACAGCTTGAGACTCTTATCTCAAAAAAAAAAAAAAATTACAAAGTAGATTAGCATTAAATTAGTTTTTCTTAATTCAAAACCCCAGTAAATGGTACCTTCCTATATAGGGAGTGGATGTCAGTGATATCAGAAATCCTTTGGGTAATAGTCCTTACTGTTGGCTTTGTCTTTCTCTATCCCACTTCCTTACATGAAAACATGTCTAAGAAGTAAAACTTAGCAAGAGATTTTTCTGTGGTTTGAATGTCAGCAGTGGTAGGGGTAGAAATAAAAGTTTGCTTCAAGGAGATGTTGAGGATTGTTTTGGAACTCAGTCATACCTTCACTCTAAAATCTGCAATTTTGGGTGTCCATAAGGTCTAATCAGGAAGATGAACCCTCACTTGTACAAGCTGGAGCTGTTCCAGAGAGTCTGTCTGAGATGAAGACCAAGGCCCAGGCTTTAGTAGAAAAAACATCATCTCTTGAGACAGTGGTTTCTGACAGTGTCCAAGAAAGCCAATCTTCAGAAGACAAGGACTCAGTGACCTGGTCTGCAACACCCTCAGTTACAGAATCCCAATTTTCAACATCACTGGTTGCAAAGGCTGAGGTCTGGGAGACCCATGCTTTTGAAGCTCAGGCCCGGGTCAGCCATACCAAGCAAACATCTATACTGGAGATGGCAAGTCTCTCATTCCTAAAACAGAAACATCCAGATGAGAATGTGCATGTGATAAAGACGGAAGACAGTGAGGTCCCTCTGACCCGTTTTCTCTGGTCCAGCAAAGTTGAGTACATCCTGGCCCAGGTGGGCTACACTGCGAGCCCATCTAATTTCTGGCTCTTTACTACCTTGTGGCTTCACAGCGGAAACTGTAAGTCTGAGGACCAGAAACCTGGATCCACAAGAGGCTAGCCACCAACAGGACATGGGCCTGTGTGGGTTTTAAACTCATATTTCTGATGTATGTTGATGCTGGAGACTTGGTACTCTAAGGAGGACAGGAGCTGGGTGCTTGAATACTTAGGATCATGAGAGGTTAAGGGCTCAAAGCCTGGGTCAGAGGTTGGGGTAGAAATTAGGCACCTGGATCTTCCAGGAATTGAGGGGCAGGGACTGGACACTTGGCATTCTGAGGGATGCAGAAACAGATGTGCCCTGATGACAGGGATTACCTTGTCTAATTGCCCCTGAGGGAGGTTGTTCATGAGGAGCATGTTTTCCTGGGCTCCTAAAGAAACCCAGGTGCTGGAAAGCCAGATGGCTCTCAGAGTCCTTCTTATATCCTCTTCACAGGCGTTTTCTTCATTATCTACACCTTCTTGCTGTTCTTGGTCGGGATTCCTCTCCTCTTCCTGGAGATGGCAGCTGGTCAGAAGATGCAACAGAGTAGCATGGATATGTGGAAGATCATTGGCCCTTGGTCTGGTGGTGTGGGGTATAGCAGCTTCATGGTGAGGATCCCTGGGCTGCCAAGGTCTACCTTTTACACCCCACCTCCATCCCAACTCATTTGAGAATCTGTCTCATGACTTTAATTCCATGGGTCAAGTCCCTTGGGTTCTTTCGTCAAATCCCTTCCTTTCTCCTGACCCTATTCTTCTTTCCCAGCCATCTCCTCCTTGGCCCACAGGTGTGCTTTATCACCAATCTTTACTTGAATGTGATAAATGCCTGGATCTTCTTCTACATGAGCCAATTCTTCCAGTTTCCAGTTCCATGGGAGAAATGTCCATTAATAAAGAACTCCAGTGACTTTGGTGAGGAGGAGGTGAAAGAGGAGGAGAGAACAGAAAACTGGAAGGGAATTTGGAAGAGGAGAAAGGAGCAAGGAGGGACAAGGAAAAGGAAGATAGAAAAAGGAACAAGAAATGGGAGGGGGAAAGAGGAGAGGGAGGTAGAGGATGGGATATAGAGGAGGAGGGGTTACCTTGTCTAGCAGGCATGTCCAAAGCCAGGTAGTTCCCCCAGATCCTGAATGTGCACAGACAACACCCATCATATACTTCTGGTACCGAGTAACCTTGAAGGCCTCGGATAGAATTGAGAATAGTGGGCCACCAGTCTTCAGTCTGAGCCTGCCCTTCCTCATTTCCTGGTGTCTTCTTGGTGTTTTCACAATCAATGGGCTCAAGTCCTCTGGGAAGGTGAGCTACTATTTATGGATTCTTTGAAATCCTCTGATGCTTTAGCCCTTACCTCGCTTTGTGACTTGCTGGTCTCCTCAGTTCTTACTACCTCCCATCCTTTCCCCCCACCCCTGCCTTTTAATTATACTTGGTCCCTGACTAAGGTGACCAGATGTCCCGCTTTTGGTGGGACGGTCCCCATTTTGAACAATTTGTCCCACGTCCCGCAGCGTTTTAAAAAAGTCCCGATTTTTGGAGAGAATGCATGACAAGCTAGGGAACAGTGGGAGAATGGGAAGGGAATATACCCTTTTTGGCTGCTGAAAAGGTTAATGTAACTCCATTTGGGAATGAAGAGGTTAATGTAACTTCATTTGGAAGTGAAAAGGCTAATGTAAACTCCCTACTCCCCTCCTGGGCAAGGTCGCCCAGGTGGAATCGGTATCAGAAGGAGACTGCTTCCTCCCTTGCTTCTAGGCAAGGACAATTAGCTCAGAAGGAGCCAAGCTAGAACAAACAAGTAGCCCTCCACCTCTCTAGAGTAAGGTGACCAAACGTCCCACTTTTGGTGGGACAGTCCTGATTTTTAACAATTTGTCCTGCGGCGTTTTAAAAAAGTCCGATTTTTGGAAAGAATGCACAACAAGCTAGGGAACGTGGGAGAACAGGAAGGGAATATATGGTTTTCAGCTGCCATGTGGCTATTTCACCAGGATATGAATTTTATATTATTTTTGTTAATTTTATAATGTTAAACTTTAATAATAACAAATAATTGTTGAGAACTGATTATCAAGAAATGCTTATCAAAGTTTGCATTTTTGTCAGGCCCCGCCCCCCGAGGCGCCGCCCTCCCCCCCTCAATGGTGTCCTGCTTTACCAATGTTAAAATCTGGTCACCTTATCCCTGACCCTTGTTGAAAGCTGTCTTCTAACTACTTATTTCTGACTCAGAACTTTTGATCCCTGGTGACTCTTGGTTGCCCCCTACTGGTACATGGTCGCTGATATGCCCCACTCTCAATTCAGGTAATGTATATCTTGCTACTGCTCCCCTGTCTCATCATCATCTGTTTCTTCCTCCGGAGTCTACTGCTGGAAGGGGCAAAATTTGGCCTTCAAAATTTGGTGGCTATTCAGGTGAGGTATATCCTTTTCACTCCCCCATAAGGCCTTGTAGGGCACCACAGCTGCCTGTCATTAGGGCCTTTAGTCTCCATTATTTCCTTCTCCCCATGACATTTCTGTAATAGGTGACCCCCCTTTTTTTTACATCCCCCTTATAGTTGTCTTTTCCTTTTTAGATATCAGATATATTCAACATTCATATATGGTGTTTGGCAGGGAGTCAAGTTTTGTTTACCATGGGCCTAGGCTATGGCCCCATTACCTCCTTTGCCTCTCATATGTCACAGTCCAACGACTGTCTCAGTGATGCCTTTGTTGTGGCTCTGGTCAACCTAGTCACCTTGTTGATCATCGTATCTCTCAACTTCTCTATCATGGGCTTCTGGGCTACAGTCACCACACACCGCTGCTGTGAGAAGTAAGGCCAGCCCCTTAGTTGAGAGTCCCTACTCCAGGGAAATACAAAACCCCAAGACCCTAACCTTAAAGGGGCGGCAAAGACCCATATTCACATATTTCAACCTGAAAGCCTCTACTTTCCTCTGTAGCTAAAAGCAGAGACCATAGAACTCCCTATCATGCATTATCCTTGTTAGAGTCCTTTTCTAGCTTTAGAGATCTTCAAACTCAAGAGACTGCCAATTATCTACCTCAGATTAGATATACTGACAGAGATATGTTAAAAATGACAAACATTTAAGTCTACTTTAATCCAAGATACCCAACAAAATAGCATCAGAAAACCTTCCAAGGCTGTTTACTTCCTGAATGCCCTGATTCTTAGCTGTTTGACTGCTGGATTAGGGATTTCTGCCCATCTAGCAAATATAAACTCCAAAGGATCTTCAGTACTAGAGCCTTTATTTCTAATCATCCATTTTTTATTTTTTAAGGAATTACTTTCAGAAACTTCCATAAGACATTTAGAAAGTACTGTCTGTGTACCACAGACACTTGGACAGGTGAATCAGACCAGAGTCCTTACTATCATTACCTTTTCAGTTTTGGAAAGAAAGTGAAGGGGAAGAGAATTAGACACTAAAATCAGCCATGAACTTGTGATAATAGACAGCCTGAGTGATAGGAGAGGACAGATGACAGAGCCATTAATTCTGCCTGTTCTAGTCATAGAAGGCCTTCCAGAGAAGGCAAACCTGGGTTGAATTTCTCTCCATTAACCCTAACCTTACAGACAACCACTATTTTAATCTAGAAGCCTACACATACACATGAGCAAGAGTTCTCTAGAATATATTCAGGAATTGGCTTTCAATTTTACCATAGATAGTACTGTATGGTTTTCAAGGTGTTTTAATCAATTACTCTCCCACCAACGATGTGTGAGGATTCCATTTGTTCTACTTTTGCATAACACTTGATTAAACTTGGTCAGACTTAAAATTTTTGCCCAGTCCTTTGGAAATGTATTGGTATTTTTTTGTGCTTTTAAAAAAAACTTTTATTGTGAGTTATTATATACACATAGAAAAACGTGTAAAACAAATATGCAGTGTAAACAACTATGAAGTAAATATACTCATATTAAGACTAGAATTATGGCTGGGTATAGTGGCTCATGCCTATAATCCTAGCTACTCTGGGAGGCCAAGGCAGGTGGACTGCTTAACCTCAAGAGTTCAAGACCAACCTGAGCAAGCGTGAGTCCCTATCTCTGCAAAAAAATAGAAAAAACTAGTGGGCATTGTGGTGGGTGCCTGTAGTCCCAGCTACTCAGGAGGCTGAGGCAGGAGGATCACATGACCCCAAGGGTTTAAGGTTGCTGTGAGCTGTGATGCCACAGCACTCTACCCAGGGTGACAAAATGAGACTCGGTTTCAAAAAATAAACAAAAGCAATAGAGAAAGTTACATGAATGAAAAAAAACCTTAAATCATTTTTTTTTGAGACAAATTCTTGCTATGTCACCCTTGGTAGAGTGCTGTGGCACCACAGCTCATAGCAACCTCAAACTCTTGGGCTTAAGCAATTCTCTTGCCTCAGCCTCCTGAGTAGCTGGGACTATAGTACCCTTCCAAAATGCCTGGCTATTTTTTGGTTGCAGTTGCCATTGCTGTTTAGCAGGCCCAGGCCGGGCTCGAACCCGCAAGCCTTGGTGCACGTGGCTGGCACCCTACCCACTGAGTTATGGGTGTCAAGCCAAAACCTTAAATAATTTTAAGGCTCAGTTTTCCTAAGTAATCCAACACCTAATAAAGACAACTCAGGAATTATCTTGATGAAATATTTGTTTTTTATTTTTAAGTCAGCTACCAAAAAATATAAAGAAAAACTTCATGTAATATGAATTGCTTTTTCGTATAGGAAAACTGTTAAGATAAACTGGATGTCAAACCTGATGAAAGGGGTATTTAAATTTAATCACTGGTTTAGGGGATTCTTCCCCCCTTCTTATACCTGCATTCAGTCTGAGTTAGGACCTCTTGCTCTGTCACCCAGGTTAGAGGGCAATCATAGCTCACTGCAGCCTCCACCTCCTGGGCTCAAAAGATCCTCCTGCCTCAGCCTCCTGAGTAGCCAGGACTATGAACATAAACCACTATGCCCAACTAAGTTTAAAAAATGATTTTTTGTCAAGATGGATATCTTGCTATGTTGCCCAGATTGGTCTTGAACTCCTGGCCTCAAGCAATCTTTCCTCGTCAGCCTCCCAAAATGCTAGGACTTTAGGCATGAGCCACCATGCCAGTCATTAGTAAATCTTGGAAACCCTTCCATTACTTTTCTTCTAGAGCAATAAACTGAATTTTTAAGGATTTATAGGACTTAACCAAGTGAAGCAAGGTGGTAAGAATGGGGTTGATATTAGGTATAAGAGAGTAGGTGGGCTCTGAGACTGTAAGTAGTTAAATCTGGCCAGAACATGAAATGTGAAGAGGGTCATGGTAGAAGATGAGGCTGAGTGATCAGCAGGGCTCATTATCAAAAAGTCCAAGAAGCAGTTTCTCTCACATAGCACAACTACATGGGAACCAAATGTACATGTGCTCTCTGACATTCTGTAATATGCAGCTCAGAAGGGTGACTCTTAATCACTAATATCAGAAAGGAGGAAGAGGAGAGGTAGACAGTGAATAAGAGACCTACTTTATCCTTAGAGCAGAGTTCACGGAGTTCTCAAGAAGACTACAGAAAATGCTTCTCCTGGGGTCCTCTGTGGTATAAATTTTCCAGATTTATGCAAACCACCTTGAAACCCCAAAAGTCTGGGGTTTCATCCCAGAATTTTTTTTTTTTTTTTTTTGGATACAGAGTCTCACTCTGTCACCCTGGGTAGAGTGCCATGGAATCACAGCTCAATCACAGCAACCTCAAACTCTAGGGCTCAAGCAATCCTCTTGCCTCAGCCTCCCAAGTAGCTGAGAGTATCGGCACCTGCCACTACACTCAGCTAGTTTTTCTATTTTTAGAGATGGGGTCTTGCTCTTGCTCAGGGTGGTCTTGAACTCCTGCACTCAATTGATCCTCCTGCCCCAGACTCCCAAAGTGCTAGGGTTGTAGGCATGAGCCACTGCCCCTAGCCCAGGCTTTATCTTGCCACCTCAATAATTCTAAGCTAGTGATATCCTTTCTTATCTGGAAAATGAGGGAAAAACAGGCCATCTCCTAAGGTGCCAATGGTTCTATTTGATTTGATCCTCTATCCTTAGGAATGTCGAAACCCTCATAAAGCTGATAAATCTGGGGAAACTGCCTCCCAATGCCAGGCCCCCTGAAAACCTGCTTGATAACTCAATCTCCATCTACAACACGTGGCTCAACAACCTTCCCCAGCGCATCAAGAACATGGTCCACAGTGTGGTGGCTGAGTGCAGCATAGACAATCAGTTTTCCAAGGTCAGTAAAGATAGCTGGGGGTGGAGGGCTAAAGTTCCTCAGAGTCTTCTGCAAATCAGAAATTTTAGCTTTTTATTATCACTAGAAGCACTGGCATAACCAGCAACTCTGGTAATACGAAGAGCTATAGCTTGCAGGATGCCCTTCTGTGGGTAATGCTAGGTAGGCTGATTCTTGATGTCAGAGGGTTAGCCTGGAGATCTGATATCTCACTGACCCTGGGCTTTTAGGGAGTTTTCTAGGAAAGGTAGAACATACTTTTGTCTATATTTTTTGTTGTTATTGCTGTTAAATTCAATGATACTTTAACCCCATGTTCTTTCTCTCCTTGCAGGTTAGGGAGGGCCCAGGCTTTGCATTCGTGTCTTTTATTGAAGCAGTGTCATTCTTTCCTGTGTCTATTTTCTGGTTTATTATCTTCTTCCTGCTGCTGCTGGCACTGGGGATGAGCACCACCATAGGGATCATGCAAACTATAATTCTCTCACTCCAGGATACCTTCTCTTCCCTCAGGAAACACACAAAACTGCTCACAGGTACTCTGAACTATGGCCCTGTTCCTAACAAGAACCATAATCCATTGGAATTCTTGTCTAGCAGTAATGACCCCTTACTTAGGCCTTGTCACCCAGCCAGACCTCTGACCTTGATCCAGATCCAATGTTTCCTCTAGTGGGCCTCTCTTTTCTCATGTTCCTGTGTGGACTCTTCTTCACTCGACCTTCAGGCATATACTTCATCAGTCTGCTGATTGAATACTGGACAGTTCTCCCCATCATCATCATCATCATATTTGAAAACATGGCGGTAGCCTGGGCCTATGGGGCCAGGAGGTGATGTCTTAGGCCCACATTCCCACAAAGCAGGGGACGATAGGGCAGGTTGAACCCTTCTTGTTGTCTATTACCCAATTAGAGTGACATAGGGACCCTTAATTTCAGGACCTTCTGGGAAATCTTTTTATTCATTTATTTATTCGATATATATGTTGCGTGCTTCATATATTTTAGTCACCAGGGATATAGCATTGAATAAAACAACTATCTCTTTACTCAGAGAGCTCACATTCTAGTAGTGGAGGTTGACTATAACCAAATTAGCAAAAATAAAGAATAAAGTTGTCAAGGAGAAAAATGGTAAGTGATAGAAAGAAATCAAAGGGAGAGGCAAAATGATCCATAGTGTGGGGTTGTGGGCACCAATTCAACAGTATGGCAAGGAAGGCCCTTCTGATAAGGTGACATGTGAGGAGACTCCTGAATGAAATGAGGGAGGGAGCCATGATGAGATTTAAGGCAAATGTGTTCCTAGGAAGGAAATGGGAAGTACCAAGGCCAAAGGAAGCATCAGGCCTGGAGTTTTTGAGGAATGAGTAAGTCAGAGAGGCTGGAATACAATGGTAGGAGATGAGCCCAGAGATATAAGGGAAGGGGAACAAGATAATCAAAGAGTGGGACTTAGAAGACATAACTGTGGGATGGAAGAGTGAGAGAATTCAAATAAAATACAAAGAACTTCTGAGCCTAACTTTTTGCCAGGCTGGTATGTAAACATTCAAGTAGTACCATTCACAGGAGAAAGGCTCAGCATTTTTAAGTGACAGTAGTTCCTGGAGTCAGGTTGATCACTTATTAACTCATTCAACAAACATTTCTTGAGACTTTGTGTCAAGAGAATCTTGTGGTACTAGAATAGGAATGACCTAGATTTAGCTCCTCCTCTCAAAAAGCATAAAGTCCAAAGAAATACACATACATAAAAAGACAATTCCGGGGTGGGGTGGGGTGGTGGTGCCTGTGGCTCAAAGGAGTAGGGCACCGGCCCCATATGCCAGAGGTGGTGGGTTCAAAAACCTAGCCCTGGCCAAAAACTGAAAAAAAAAAAGACAATCCCAGTATGGGAGGTAAGTCTATAGTAGAGGTAACCATGGACACTTCAGTCTATAGTAGAAGTAACCATGGACGCTTCAGTGGCATAGCTAGTTGCTTAAGGACAACTGGAGAGTTAGGGAAGGTGTCCTAGAGAAGTAGATGCTTGAGTAAACTCTGGATAGATGACCAGGCAGAGAAAGAGAGAAAAAAGGAAGATTGGCATTAAACCAAAGGATCCCACTTGCATATTTATTGAGACTGAGAATGTGTATTAAAGGAGGCTGGATTTGTGGCTGAAAGAAACTAACTTCCCTGAGGTCTAGGTGTTACTTTTCATTGTGTCTGTGTAGTTCACTGCTGGATACCCAGTACCTAGAAATATCCCTGGCACATCATAAACATTCTCATATTCATGGGATAAATGAAAAGGACTTTGCCTATACCTTAAGGATACCAGAGCCCCATGGAAGGTTCTTGAGTGGTAGATGTTTGAAAATTTTTCTTGGATTGGGATGTAAGATAGACTAACTAGGAAAAAGGTGAGAGAGGATGAGACTTGAGATAAAGTAGGAAATTAGAGAAGCAATATAATATTTGGAAGATGCTAACATTGGGTTGGCCCTGCCAAGGCTGGGTAAGGCCTAACTGAGCCTCCTATGCTTTTCATGGCCCTTCCCCAGATTCCTTGCAGACATGGCAATCCTGTTGGGCCGTCCCATCTCCCCCATCTATGGTTGGCTTTGGTGCTCTCTGTGTCCAGTTGTGCTGCTAATCCTGTTTGTGACTGTCCTGGTGCATCTTTGTATGAAACACATCACCTACGTGGCCTGGGACTCAAGTACTGTAAGCTTCTCTCTCCAGTACCTAGAGCACCCTAGAGAGTGGGGCTAGATCTTTCGATCTGTTCTTGGTAGGATAACCCAGTCATCTCATTCTGTGACTCCCTGAAGACTCATTAATCCTCTGCCCTGATTCCCTCCAACCACTCTTCCGTACTGAATTTCTTATTCTTTTCCTGGGAACTGTGATATTCTGAACCTTTTCCCCATCTCTCCACAGTCAAAAGAGGTACTTCGACAATACCCATCATGGGGACTGCTCTTGGTGATCGCCCTTTTTCTCATTGTCATCCTCCCCATCCCTGTATACTTTATATACTGCCTCACCCATGGGATTCCCTTCAGATCCAAGAAGGGGCTGACAGACCTATGATGCCTTCCAAATTTCTATGCCTAAGTGTCCAGATAATGCCCAGTAAAGAGGCCCACAAGGAAGAAATTCTACAAGGTGATAAAACAAAGTGCTGACAACCTGTCGTGTGACTTCCTAACTTCGTTCGTTTGGCTTGATATCACATATCCCTCAAAATAGATCTAACAGGCAACTGTTAATATAAACTTGCAACTGTTAATGTCCCTGGATCCAGAATCACTTTTATTTCCAAGAGGAGGGACATTATTTGGGGGCACAAGGGGCCTGGCTTTGCAGACTCCTGCTCAGCCCTATGAAAGGCCACAGTCATTGTGTTTTTTCCATTCCCCTTCCTCAGTACTCACATGTGCACAGTTTATATATACTATTGGTGACACACACCAACTCTGCTGCTTATGGTGCCTATCTCATGGATCAGAGCTGGAGGAGTAATGCTATTGTCAATAAATCAGTCCACTGGAACTCCAAGCACTGGGTGTAAGCAGATCTTTCATCTTGTCTCAGGTGTTCAGTCTTCCCCTCACAAGACTTACATTCTTTCTAGAACCAAATGTCTAGCCTGAGTTCCTGCCTTTCCCTTACCCTGGGTAATTCAGATACTAGATTACTAGACCTGCCTTATCTAGAGGCTGGCCTTCAGCCAAGGGAAACCTGAGAAATGGTGGCTTCAACAAAGATGGTGAGAATATTAGTGCTTTGCTACTGAGACACGGCAATCCTATCACAGGTCTGAAAGTTATTTGTATTTATTTATTTATTTTTGCAGTTTTTGGCCAGGGCTAGGTTTGAACTCACTGCCTCTGGTATATGGGGCTGGCACCCTACCCTTTGAGCCACAGGCACCGCCCCCGAAAGTTATTTTTAAAAAGAGGTTGAACTAGTGGTTTCAACACTGTTGTGGACTAAATGCATCTGTGAGTCAATGCACAGCCCATTTGAGGAGCTATCGGGCTATCTTGCTAAGCCCAACAAGGGTCCCATTGCTAGCTGCTCAATAAAAGACATGGCTATTATCACAGGGGTAAATCAAATTAATTTGGGATCCCATAGCTAGCCGCTCAATAAAAGACATGGCTATTATCACAGGGCTAAATCAAATTAATTTGGGGTCCCATAGCTAGCTGCTCAATAAAAGACATGGCTTTTATCACAAGGTTAAATCAAATTAATTTGCCCATTGGATGATAGCTGAGCAAATCAATTGGAACTTGTGGGAAGGTGGCACCATGACAAAGGGGAAGTACTTCTCAAAAGGACGTGGAGGCCTTGCCAGTTAGCAAAACTAGGGATGGGATGAAGGCTGTGGGTGAAGGTGGTCGGGATTACCAAGATCCAGGGAATGGGTTTTCTTTAAATGTCAAAGATTTCAGGATCTTAGGGTCCATCGGTAAATTTCTGTAATAAGAAAAGGAAAAGGAGTTATCCTCAACCCCTGGCGAGTGGAACTGGAGGGATGGATCGGTGGACAGAAAGAGCAGAGGTTTCAGAAGTCTCTGCACCTTTCCAATCTCTGGCTCTTTAAGCTTAAAGGTATGAGACTGGAGGGGGCGTAACCCTCGTGTCATCACCCATTGGTTCCTGTGCCCTTGAAGCTCCGCCCCTCATACTCGCTTCCCTCCCACCCGAATCCAAACGGTCTACCTGGGAATTCAAACGATCCACCTGCTTGAAGACGCGTGCTATTGAGTCGGGTAAGGTGAGGATGGGAGAGAGAAGGCGGTGGTCTTTTCCTCACGATCTATTAAATAACCTGGGTCTTCGCCTCCTTTCTTTTGGGAACCCAGGCTCTTGTCTTCCTTTCTGCCACCTCCACTCTCTTACTAGTTCCAGCTTTGGAGGTGAAACTTCTGAGCGGGAATTGAAAAGTGAGGGTTTACGGGATAAACCGATGGAGGTCCCGAGTAAAGACCTTGACATAAGTGTCTTCCTCCTCCCTCTCTTTTTCTCTTCTGAGGTCACTTGTTGAAAGTCTGTTGTTTCCTAACCACTAGGTCTTTTGAATTGGGACTATTCTGAAATGGAAACAAGTACTGTAATAGGGCAGCCTTCCACATGTCTTTCGCTGTTATTCCTGCAGGAACAGTGTGAGATATAAATATTGTCATCCTCAGTCTTTATAAAAAAACACAGAACAAAGGGATTCACACAGTCAATCAGGGCTACAGCCTGACAAAAATTGTTGTCTTCTGTCTTCTAGGGTGGTTTTTCTTTTTTTTTTGTAATTTTCAAATACATGCAAAAGAATAACAAGGAATTGCTGTGTGCTCATCACCCAGCTTCAATAATGACCAACTCATGACCAGTTGGATTTCATCTTTTCTCCCCCACCACTGCATATCCCCCCATTATTTTGAAGCAAATCCCAAATTGATCATTTCATCTGTAGAAATGTAAATAGGTATCTCTAAAAAGTAAGAATCTTTAAAAAAAAAAAAAAAACCCACAAACTAGGCCAGGCATGGTGGTTCATGCTTGTAATCCTAGCACTCTGGGAGGCCAAGATGAGTAGAGTGCCTGAGCTCATGAGTTGGAGACTAGCCTGAGCAAGAACAAGACCTTGTGTCTAAAAAATAGTGTTGGGCTGGGCACCTGTAGTCCCAGCTACTTGGGGGCTGAGACAAGAGAATTGCTTGAGCCCAAGAGTTTGAGGATGCTGTGAGCTATGATGCCACAGCATTCTACCAAGGGTGACAAAGTGAGACTGTGTCTCAAAAATAAATAAAAATAAAAAAACTCACAAACTATTACCACATCTAAAACAATTATTTAATACCATAAAATATCCACTCAGTAGTCATGTTTTACCGATTGTCTCATAATTTCTTTGTCTTTTTTAAGAGCTTTATTGAGATATAATTCAGATACCATACAATTCACTCATTTAAAGTGAACAATTCAATGGCTGTGTGTCCATTACTATAAGTGAATTTTAGTACATTTTCACTATTCCAAAGAGAAACTCAATAATTTTTAGTTATCACCCCTCCCCTACTACCCCAGTCACCCGCCCCCTCCACACTTCACCAGCTTTAGGCAATCACTAATCTAATTTCTCTCTATATATAGATTTGCTTATTCTGGACTTTTCATACTAGTGGATTCATACAATATGTAGTCCTTTGTGACTGACTTATTTTTCACTTTGCATGATCTTTTCAATATTTATTCATGTTATAAAATATATCAGTACTTCGTTTCTTTTTTGAGACAGAGTCTCACTATGTCACCCTTGGTAGAGTGCTATAGTGTCATAGCTCACAGCAACCTCAAGCTCTTGGGCTTAAGCAATTCTCTTGCCTCAGCCTCCCAGTAGGTGGGACTACAGGCACCCATCACAACACCCAGCTATTTTTTGTTGTAGTTGTCGTTGTTGTTTGCCTGGCCTGGGCTAGGTTTGAACCTGCCAGCCTCAGTATACGTGGATGGCACCATAACCACTGTGCTATGGGCACCAAGCCATACTTTGTTTCTTTTTATTTCTGAATCATATTACATTATATGGATATACTATATATTATTTATCTATTCATTATTTGATGAAAATTTTGTATTGTTTTCAATTTTTTGGCTATTATAAATAATGCTGCTATAAACATTTATGTAAAAGTTTTTGTGTAGAAGTGGCACCTGTGGCTCAGTAAGTAGGGCGCGGCCCCATATACTGAGGGTGGTGGGTTCAAACCCAGCCCCAGCCAAACTGCAACAAAAAATAGCCACCTTGTGGCGGGCACCTGTAGTCCCAGCTACTCAGGAGGCTGAGGCAAGAGAATTGCCTAAGCCCAAGAACTGGAGGTTGCTGTAAGCTGTGACACTACAGCACCTACCAAGGGCAATGAAGTGAGACTCTGTCTCTAAAGAAAAAAAAAAAAGTTTTTGTGTGAACATATTAGGCCAATCTAATGGTAATAAATTCCTTTAGTTTTTGCTTGTCTGTGAATGACTTTATTTTTACTTCATTTTAAAATGTATACTATATATACAAAGTATATATATACTTTGCTGGATATACTATTCTTGCCCAGCAGTTATTTTTTTTCTTTCAGTACTGTGAATGTATTGACCCATTCTCTGCTGGTCTGTAAGGTTTCTGCTGAGCAATCCACAGTTAGTCAAATGGGGATTCCTTTACATGTGACTTGATGTTTTTATTGCTTTTACAATTCTTTCTTTGTCTTTGTTTTTTGACAATCTGACTATAATGTGACTTGGAGAGGTTCTGTTTGGGTTGAATCTACTTGGGGTTCTTTGTACTTCCTGGACCTGGATGTTTATCTCCCAAGACTTGGGATGTCTTCAGCTATAATTAAATATACTTTATGCACTTTTCCCTTTTCTTCTTCTTCTGGAACAAGCATAATCGGAATATCTGTTCATTTACTGGTATCCCATGAATCCATAAATCCTATAGGCTTTCTTCATTCTTTTTCTTTTTTGTATGTGTATGCCTGCCTGTGTTATTTCAAACTTGTATTATTTCTAAACTTCAAGTTTCTCCTACTTGGACTAGTCTGTTGTTGAAGCTCTCAATTGTATGTTTAAATTTCAATGATTAAACTCTTTGGCTCTAAGATTGCTGTTTGGTTCTTTTTCTTTTCTTTCTTTCTTTCTTTCTTTCTTTCTTTCTTTCTTTCTTTCTTTCTTTCTTTCTTTTTGTAAAGGGTCAGACCTTTTATTGAAATCATTTTCTTATTTATTCAAATGCTTTATTATTTATTATTTATTTTTTGAGACACTTTGTCACCCTTATGTAGAGTGCCTTGGCATAACAGCTCACAGCTTAAGTGATTCTCTTGCCTCAGACTCCCAAGTAGCCGGGACTACAGGTGCCCGCCACAATGCACAGCTATTTTTTAAAGGTGGGGTCTCATTCTTGCTCAGGCTGGTCTTAAACCCATAAGCTCAGACAATCCACCTGCCTCAGCCTATCAGAGTACTAGGATTACAGGTGTGAGCCACCATGCTGGGCCCTGTTTCTTTTTAATGATATCTCTTTGTTAAATTTGTCATTCAAATCATGAGTTTTTTTTCTGATTTTATTGAATTGTCTATCTGTATTCTCTTGTAGCTCACTGAGTTTTCTTAATATTATTACTTTGAATTCTTTTTCTGTCATTTCAC